GCTTTCGTACTACTACATGGATTTCCTTATGGAAAAAAGCAGAGAATACATAACTTTGCAATGAGCATCACGTGGACTAAGGCTCAATACCAGTATGAGCAAAGCTTCATTATTTCTCAAGCCCTTACTGGGGAAAAGCTGAGCTTTCTTTCACAGAACAATGGAATTCTCTGCTGTAATGCCAGGTGCTCAGCATTTTTCAACATCTGAGTCAAGGAAAAAAAATCAGTCCTTGTTTAACAGTGCTCAGTGCAATCCTAACCTGCTGCTGATCTCAACAGGCCTGACTGCACAGAGCCCTAAGGCAGTTTTGCAGCACTGTTGAGGCCAGAAGATCCCCACTGCGGGGAGTAAGGAGCTCTATCCCACTGCCACTCAAGTCTTCCTTTTCAGAAGGACCCTAATGCAAGGTCCACATCTCCTACACGTTATTGCTTCCAGGTGATGGTGCAACTAACTCCTCAGTTCTACTATACTTATTGATGCTGTAACAATGTTCGATAAGAACGTGATATCTGCACCCAAGTCCAATCAGTCTGCAAGTACAGGCAATCTTAACAAAAATCTCACCATTACTCTTCCAAAATCATGAGTCAACCTGAAATATGAAGCCTAAACTAAACGAGTAAACATGTGCTGAAAAGGTCTGTGTAATACTACTTTTCCTTGAGAGCCTTCCCAAAGCTATCCGATTCAGCCACGTGACTTACCCACAATCTCAGACTGGAGCGAGGGAAGGGAAACAGGGAGGCTGGGCTGGGCTGACTATACAAGCAAACAAATTGTTGGCTGCTGTGCTTTCGTTTTTGGAAAGACAGGCTTCTCAATCCACTGAAGCAGAACCCAGGACATACCGCCAGCTTGCACAGATTATGCTAGCTAGCATGTACAGGGCCATTTTGTAAGAAACCAGTCCCAGAAAAATCAGAGCGGATATATGCAAGGGGGCTCACAGCTTTAGAAGGCTTCTGCAGCCTGGTCTGTGCTGGCTTTCAGTACTGACACTGCCTGCAAAGCCAAGGTGGGGGTAATTTATCTGAATTTATGCTCTTACTGTTGTAAAAACCTGGGACCCAAGAAATGGAAATACAATGCAAAATAGGTTGTAAATTCCTGCAGAACTCCTCCCCTCCCTCAGGGGTGAGAAGGTGCCTGGAATTAACTTCATTGTTCCAGTCTCTATCACAACCACCACAGTAATGCAAACAATGACAACAGCACAGCCCAAGACACTGCTTCAAATCAGCATACACGCACTAACACTGGGGAACGGTTTCAATGAGGGATCGGAAAAGCACGATTTCTGAATTATCTTGTCACAGGAAGCTCACTTTTCATTACACTGAACCTGAATGCAGTTTTAATGAGCTTTTCTAATTGCTCCCTTAATTAACCTGTTTCTGACCAAAAGAGGTTAAACTCAAATTATATCAGGTAGTCCTATTTAGCAGTGAGGCACATAAGCGCTGGATTTAAACCTATGAGAATTATACTTCTACAGAAGATAAGCAGGACAAGACAGACAGCCCAAGCAGAACTTAGCATGCATTCCTTAAGACTAGTGTATATATTTCAAGTTATTTAAACTGAGTTATACTATTTGATCCATGTTGCATGATTCCTATCAAGGATGCATAGCAATTACTACTACTGCTTAACATTTCCATCATGAGAAAAAGATCAATCTGAAAGCACAGATTAGATGCAACATAAAAAGCATAATGAAATTAACTGGTGTTTCCAAGGGTGCCCAAGAGGAAACTCTTTTAAGCACCTCTGAAATTTCCAGCTGATTAGAGGGCTAAATTAATGGTCTGCAAAATCTCTTAGTATTGGTATAGGCGGGAAGCAAACTGCTCCAGTTCCAGAATTGCTGAGTTTTACTCAGTAACTGCTACAGACACGTGCATCCTGCAATCTCTGGTCATATAAACCATATGTATTGTACTCATACACAGTTACAGTATGCTGCATACATCAATTCCTTGTGGGAAACGATTCCCATTTCTCTAGAGTGCCTTCCAAGACAGTAAGAATAGAAAGCTTTTTGTT